GGGCCCGAGGAAGTGGCACCAGCCTGGCTGGAGCCCCGGCTGGAGGAGGCCCCGCTGCCCTTGCACCGCCATGGACACACCAAGGCTCTGTCCATGCTCCCTGCCAGCCTTGGGAGGCTCTTGGTCCCTCAGCTCTGAGCTGGGAGTGCTGACCAGAGGGATGGGATGGGCAGAAAACAGGGAGATGGGAACTGAGGCAGCCCCTGAGGCCCTGCATCCTGCACAGCTCCGGGTCTCAGCCCATGGAGCCAGGATGTGATCCCGCCTCTGATTCCCACCAAGCCTGCCCTGGCACTGAGCCTCCGTTCCACAAGGTCCCGAGGATGTCGGTGTGGATTATAAACAGGAGTCCTGGCCAGCCCGCCCCGACATTGATTAACTCCTCGGGATTAACTCAATTAGTCCCTCCTGCTCATTCCCAGAATTGATCTGCTGGAAGGCTCTGGCAGAGGAGCTCTGCAGGCACATCCAGGGGCTCAGGCCTTGGAGCTGCCCTCTGGCATTGCCGGCGCTGGGCAGGAGCCTGGACCCCTCTGCGAGAGGGGGATCCCACTCCAAGGGCTGTATCCACTTGGATATGCCCAGGCTGGAGATCGTGGTCCAGGATGTGGCCGTCCCAGATGGGCCTCTGAGCAAACAAATCATTGAACTGTGGGATCACTGAGGTTGGAAAAGCCCTCTGAGATCATGGAATCCAACCATGCTGTTGAACCGTGCTGTCCCCAAGTGCCACATCCACACTCCTCCTGCACACTTCCAGGGATAACATGGAGCACATCCCAGTCGGGGGCGTTCCACGGGAACTGGAGGTAAAGCAGCCCTGTGTCAAGCCTTGTTTTGGGGCTGGGAAGCGAACGGTTCCCGTCTCCCACCTCCCACACACCTCCTCTAACCCAGCGCTCCGTCTGCCGCCGCTCAGGCAGCCAGAAACATCCAGGGATGTTCCCTGGGAGAGATGAAAGGGGCTGGAAATGAAAGCAGATGGATGCGAGGAACTTTGCAAGGATGCGGGTAACCATGGCGACGAGCTGCTTTCCCCCCCCATCCCGGCTCCCTCCACCGCCGCTCCCGGCCGGGAGAGGGATTTCGGCACCGGTTACATAAGGCCAGGCACAACAATGAGTCAGGCGCGGCGGGATCCTGCCGTCGGATCCCTCCCATCCCTGTCCCGAGGGCTTGGGAAGGCGGTGGAGTCGCCCCGAGGTCGTACCCACATCGTGGTCCTCCCCCCACCCCCAAAAAATCCCACCTTCCCTCAGGAAACAGCTCCCAGCAGGGATGGGAGGTCCGAGGGATGCAGGGGAAGGATCCCGGGATTCAATCCTAGCCCTGGTCCTGGAGCATCCGTGCAGAGTTCCCTGGGTGGGAGGAATAACCTGGCTGGGGAAAAACAACTTCCTGACCTACTTCGGGGCTGCAGAGCCTGGGGTTTGATACAGCGGGGAGGGCCCCGGCACGGCTGGGGAAATGTGGGATGAGATGGGATGGGATGTGGCAGCCAGGAGGGAGGAGAGGCTGAGGGGGGAACGTGACAGGCGGGGACACAGGGCTGGCACAGGGGTGTGGGGCTGGCACAGGGGTGTGGGGATGGCACAGGGGACATGGGAGTGACACAGGGGACAGGGAAATGACACAGAGTCTGTGGGGCTGGCACAGCAGTGTCTGTGGGGTCCGTGGGGGTCCAGGGGGTGACACAGGGGATGTGGGGCTAATCCTGGGCCCATGGGGCTGGCACTGGGGTCATGGGGCTGACACTGAGCCCGTGGTGTATCAGGGCAGTGCCCATTCCTGTGTCACCACACCGAGGTCACACACAGGATGGACCAGCCAAGCTGGCTCTTCCATTGCCATTCCAGCAGGGAAGAAGGTCACCCTGCCCCAAACAGCTCCTGCCTCCCTGGGCCCTGTCCCTGCACAGACCACTGGGGGCAGCCAATATCCCAAAGATCCAGTGGGCTGGGAGTGACCAAAATTTCCTCCTCCTCCTCCTCGGGGTGACCACTCACCCCTGCCAAGAGAAGTCCTGGGAAACATTTCATCCCAATAAACAAACCAAGAGCAGCGTTTCCCACGGGGACAGTGGGAGCTGGTGCTGGAAGCAATGGCCTTGAACGTCCCCAAAATCCCCTCAGCACCCCCATCCCCTCCCAACCCAGAGCCCTGCATCCTCTCAGGGAGTAGCAGGGGCTTGGAATCTGCTGATTCCTGAAGCTCCAGAGAGGAGCAGGAGCTGTGCTGCAGCCCCAATCCCACCTGCCAGAGCAATTTGTTGGGCTCTGATCCCTTCCCCCCGGGGCTGCCGGGTGTTAATGATGACACACGACCCTCCTGAGGAATGGGCAAATGTTATCCTGCTCTTCCCACCCTCTCCCAGTCCTTCCCTCTCAGCAAAGTGCAGAATCTGCAGCACCAAACGCATCAGAGCAGGTTTTTTTAAGCGCCGAGCGCAGAGAAAGGCAAGAAAAATCCTTGGGCTGCCTAATCCTGGTCCTGGAAAGTAAAACTCCCCCTGGCAAAAATGGGAAAACCCACTTCAGCTGGATTTGTTCTTCCAGGCCTGGCTTCCCTGTCCGGATATAATTATAGGAGTGTTGCCAGGGGTCTGGAAGGGTTTAACAGGGGGACAAACAGCCAGCCATGGAGCCAGCCTTGAAATCCTCAGGGATGCAGCTGGAGAGGGGGATGGACTGGTCCTGGAACTGCCCCGAGGATCCCATGGGATGTGGATAAACCGTGTTCAGTCAAGGAATGGCTTGTGAGGGAAGGGAGAGTGTCCATGAGGCACAGGGAGGTAGAAGGGAGCTGGAAAAGGGGACCATCCATCAGGGAAATGGGAACATCCATCAGGAACAGGGCAGGAAAAGGGGAAATATCCGTAAGGCAAAGGGAAGGGAAAGGGCACATCCCTAAGGCACAGGGCTGGGAAAGGGGAGCAGGGAAAGGAGAGCAGGGAAAGGACACATTCCTAAGGCACAGCACCGGTCGCCTCCTCTCCCTGCTCTCTTTGGGAAGGACGAAGACCTTGAGACACAAAAGATTCCGCCCAGTGGAGTAACCCGTGCCTGACCTGCCGTGCCACCTAAATCCCGCCGGGATTTGCCGGGATGGCTCCAGCTCCTGCCGCAGAGCTGCAGCGGGGCTGGATGGATCCCTCGGGTGGCAGGCTGGGAGGAACCATGGAAGGAGGCTCGGGAAGGAGGCACTGGAGGCAGGTGCCCCCTGGCTCCCCAGCCGAAATTCCGGGCAGGTTCGACACGCACGCAGCACCAGCGGGGCCTGGGGCAGAGCCAGCAATCCTTCAGTGCCGTTGCATCACGGTGGGAGCCCTTCCTTAAGTTGGATTTCCAGGATAACCCCCCGCTCCAGTCGTGCCGAACAGAGCCAGGTTATTGAAGCACAGGAGATGCTGTGGCTCCCCTCTCTCCCCGCAATCCAGAGGAGCTGCCAGCTCCCTGCAACCCAAGTGCCTCTCAGGTCCCTTCCCATTGGAAAAAACCCCACATTTTTTGGCCATTTTGCTCCCCCTCCCCCAGCAGAGCCCCTTCCTCCCTCCCCTCCCCATCAGGACGTGCCCTCCATCACCACAGAGAGGGACAAGGGGCCGCTCACCTCATTTATTGCCGAGGGTTGTCAGAGGTCGAGGCGGCGAATAAAAGGTTTAAATCCCGCAGGAGGCCGAAGGAGAGGGAGAGGAGGCGATGCCCGAGGCGGTGGGAGCGGGCTGCCAGCGCCGCTCGGCTGTGCAGCTCCTCCAAACCCTCTAAATCCAATTTTTTGGGGGCTGTCTGGAGGGCGGGATGGGGTGATTCCTTCAGCTCCGCTCACCTGCTGCCCACCAAAACCTCTCCTTCCATCTTTTCCCCACCGGCAGCTTCGTGGCCGGGGCTCGGGGGCTTAGGGGGGGCTGTTTGTCCTTGGAGGCTGTAGCCATGGAAAGCCCCTGAAATCCCTCCTAAGGAGGAGGGATCTGCGTGTGATGGACATGGGGATCTGCCACTCACAGCCGTGCCCTGCGCCCGCCCAGGGGGGACCGGCAGGGATGGGGGGACAGGGATGGGGGGACAGGGATGGGGGGCCAGACAAGGAGGGGGGGCTGGACAGGGATGAGAGGGCCAGGGGTTTGGCTCTTCCAGTGGGATGAGGGACAGAGGTCCCTTTTTAGCTGCTTTTCCGAACATTCTGGTGGTTGTGGCTTCCCAGAGGCCACGAGTGTGACAGTGCCATGGGCACGGCAGGGGCATGAGCGTGTCGGGGCTCAGCACCGGTGTCTGAGCACCAAAAACCCTCTGGGCTGGGAGAGGAGGACACGCGTGAGATCAGGGATGGTTTTTGGTTTGTTTTCACGTTTTGGGATGGCTGAGTGGCATCCCCTCACTCTGACGGGCTGATTTCTGCTGGGACACAAAGTCCAGGAGGGGGAAATCCCAGAGCTGGGCCTGCTCTTGGGATACAGCTGGGATAGGCTCAGAAAAGCAGTCACAGAATCCCAGAATGGTTTGGGTTGGAAGGAACCTTAAAGCCCATCCAGTGCCACCCCTGCCATGGGCAGGGACACCTTCCACTATCCCAGGTTGCTCCAACACGGCCTTGGACACTCCCAGGGCTGGGGCAGCCACAGCTTCTCTGGGCAACCTGTGCCAGGGCCTCCCCACCCTCATAACCAAGAGTTCCTTTCCAATATCCCATTCAGCCCTGCCCTCTGCCAGTGGGAAGCCATTCCCTGTGTCCTGTCCAATCCTTGTCCCAAGTCCCTCTCCAGCTCTCCTGGAGCCCCTTTAGGCACTAGAAGGGTCTCCCCAGTGCCTGTGTATTGCGCTGCACGTCGTGACAGCGCTGGGGACAACCCGGGGGGACAATCAGGGGGCCGATGTGCCCCCGTGGCGACCAGGCCGCAGTGGGGCCGTTGCCATGGAAACAGCGGTGCGAGCTCCCCGGGGACTACAACGCCCAGCAGCCCTTACGGCGCAAAGCGGGCTGCGATTGGCCGGCTGGAGGAGCCAATGGGCAGTGGCGTTGTTGGCGGGCGGGGCGCGATGGCGGCGCTGGGTCCCGTGTGGGGCCGCAGGTACCGACGGTGCCGCTGCCCGGGGGAGGGGGAGAACGGGGGGGAAACCCCCGGGAGAGCGGCAGGACAGCGACGGGAGAGCGGGTTAAAGCTGATGGGGAGCGGCTGGGCGAGCTGGGGAAGGGTGTGGAGCAGCAGGAGCGGCTGAGGGAGCTGAGGGGAGGCGGTGGCTCAGCCTGGAGAAAAGGAGGCTCGGGGGGGACCTTCTGGCTCTCTGCAGCTCTCCAACCCTAACCATCACTCTTCTACTTTCCTCCCTTTCCCCTCCAGTTTTTCCCTGCTCCAGCGCCCCTTCCCGCTCCTCGCGAACCGCCCGGAGCTCCTGCCCGGCCGCCCCCCCGGCCTCTGCCGCCCTCCCTGGACCTTCCAGCAGCTCCGCGGCAAAGCCCGAGGCAACGAGTACCAGCCCAACAACTGGAAGCGCAAGAAGACGCACGGCTGGACCCGCAGGATCAGCACCCCCGGCGGCATCGCCGTCATCCTGCGCAGGATGCTCAAGGGCAGGAAGTCCCTGACCCACTGAGGGGCGGCCCCAAACCCGCCGGGAATTTGGGATGAGCCCAGGGGTTGTCCCCGGGCCTTTGTAAATTTAAATTGCTTCTTGAAGTGCGTGTTTAAAGTGCTCCTCGAGCTGTAAGCTGTGGCTGGTTTTGTGCGTGGTTGTCCTGGGATAAACACCCACAGTGGGGTTGAGCCCCTCTCCTCGGCTCCCTGCTCGAATCGTGGTGGAAAACTTCATGGGGAGAGGGAATCTGGGGTCACAGCTGCTGGAGAGGGATGCTGGGGAAGGATGGAAGGATTCAGAGGGATGGTGGGACTGGAATTAGGGAGGGAATTTGGATTTAGTTCACGCTGCACCTCTGCCCCTTGGTGCTCCAGGCTCGGGGTCCTGGCTCTCAGCAGCAGCTCTGGGGTGGGGATAGGATTAGGTTGGGCATTAGGAAGGAGTTCTTGGGATCAGCCTCTGGAACGGGCTGCCCTGGGAAGTGATGGAATCACCATCCCTGGGGGGGGGTGGTTGAGGAGAGCCTGGATGTGGCACCCGGTGGTGTTGGGTCATGGGCTGGACTGGGTGATCTCGGAGGCCTTTTCGACATCAAATCACGGTTGACTCTGCGATTCTCATTAGGGGGTTTATCGAACGCCCCCCATCGAACTACAACTCCCATCGAACTACAACTCCCATCACGCCCCGCGGCGCCACATCCGGGTCCGTCCCGCTGCCCCCCCCCGCCCTTCCGCGCTGCCGCTTCCTGCCTCGGCCGAGCTGCGCCGCTCCGTGATTGACGGGCGCGCCCTCCAATGGGCGCGCGCGGCGCGGCGGCGCGGGCCAATGGGGGCGCGCGGGGCGGGCGGGAGGCGGCAGTGGGCGGGCCCGGGCGGCTCCTCCCGGCGGCGGCGGCGAAGATGGTGCGTGAGACCCCCGGCCCGAGCGCGGCCCCGGCCTCGACACCGCCCCCGGGGACCCCGACACCCGGCCCCGGCACCGCACGGCCCCGCAACGCCGCGGGCAGCGGCTGCGCCCGCCTCCCCGGGCCTGCGGGGCCCGCGCCCGGGCCGCGGCGGGGGCGGCGGGGCTGAGGGGCGTGGGGGGATGGGGGGTGGGTGAGGGGGGTTTGAGGGGGCTGAGGGGGTCGGGAGGAGCTGAAGGGATGGAGGGGGTTGAGGGGTGCGCGGGAGTCCCGCCCTCAGGGGTGGCGGTGCGGGGGTGTGGGTTCTTAAGGATTTGGGGGGGCGGTGGGGCTGAGGGGGTTTAGGGGGGCTGAGGGGGTGTCCTTAGGGGTTGGGATGCGAGGGTTGTACATCCTCAAGGATTTGCGGGGTGTTATTAAGGATTTGAGGTCTGAGGGGTTTGGGGGTGGGGGTTTAGGAGGTCCCACCCCAGGCTGGGGAGTGGGGGCTCCCACTTTCTGATATTTTGGGGGGAGGCGCTTTGGGGTACAGGCTGTTCCCCCCCATGGCTGGAGGGTGAGGCTGGGGGGGCTTCCCCACCCTCACTTTGTGGGGGCAGAAAAGGGGGATTGGGGCCTCTCCGAGGTGGGGGCTGTTTGGGGATCCCCCCTCAGCCTCAGGATGAACCCCCAGGGGGGTCTGGTGGAGGCGTCCCCTTGGGCTCCCTGTACAGATGTCCCAGTGTCCCCATAGTCCCCATGCCCAGGTTGTCCCCATGCCCAGGTTGTCCCCATAGCCAGGTATTCCTGTGTCCCCATACCCAGGTTGTCCCCATACCCAGGTTCTTCCCATTGTCCCCATGCCCAGGTGTCCCTGTGTCCCCATGCCCAGGTGTCCCCCTGCTGCCAGCTCAGGGGGCTGTTCCCAGCTGTGTCCATGGATTTCCTCTCTCCCAGTATCCCCTGAGTCCCATCACATGGGACAGAGCCCTGAGTGTGTGTTCCCCTCTTCCTGATTCCTCCCCAAACCTGAGCCCATGGCCCAGATATTTGGTTTTTTTTTCCTCCACTTTCCTGCTTTTAGTCCAGGAAGCTGAGGGACACGGGACGCTTCTCAAATCTTAGGGGAACCAGAGCTCCATAATTACGTTGTTGGGTTTTCCTGGGGGGTTCTGCCTTTCCCCAAAGGATCCCTTTGGATCCTGGAGGGTTGGCTGGGTTGGGTTTTCCCTGGTTAACGAGTGGCAGAGGGGACATTCCCCGGTGTGACATTGTCCCCGTGCCCTGGGTGTGTAAACACAGCCCTGAGCCCCTGGAGCTGCTTTGTTTGGGATCGTTGCACTCGGGGTATTGGCCTGTGCTCAGTCTCCAGGGATACCACTCCAGGCAATTCCAGGCCTTTTCCGTGCTCTCCAGGGCCTTCTCCAGCAGGATTGGCCCACTAGGGTGGTTTAGTGTCCCAGAACATTGATAGGAATGAATATAAAAATAATAGGAACAAATATAAAAATAATAGGAATGAATATAAAAACCCAAGAGTTAATATTTTATCTAATATGCAGTATAATAATGCATCATGTGCAATCCCTAATTACAAGTTATGAAATGATTTGAAGCAGAATATGGGGTGTATTATTATATTACACATAAAGAGCAACTGGTTTGTTGTGCCAAAATACCTTTAATGGGCAGCTTTTTTTAACTCAGTTCCTGAATTTTTGGGGTTGACACAAATAATCTGGGACGGGTTCCGTGGGATCTCAGAGCATCCCTCAGCTCCTGCTTGGAATACCCCTCCTTTTTCCTCATTTTTTTTTTTATTTTGGTGTTTTCTGTGTTTCCAGGCAGATTTTTTGAAGGGGTTACCAGTCTACAACAAAAGCAACTTCAGCAGATTCCATGCGGATTCCGTGTGTAAAGCATCCGTAAGTATTCCCAAAAATCCCAGGAACTGGGATGGGGAGAGGATGGGAAATTAAGGGGGAGTTGGGGTTGGTTTAGCTGTGTTTGGGTTAAAGAAAAAATCACCTTTTTACCATCTCTGTTCTAATTCTGCTACAGAACAGACGCCCATCAGTTTATCTGCCCACGAGAGAGTTTCCCTCCGAACAAAGTGAGTGTGAAAACCTCATTATTGCTGAACTTCATACTGGTCTGATATTAAAAAAATCACATACAATCTCCTTTATTTGAAACTGAAACGGTTTAAGTGGTTTGAGACTTGTCTATAAAATGATCCTTTTTTTTTCTCTCTTTTTTGTGTTTTTATTTTTTAGTCATAGTAACAGAAAAGACAAATATCCTCTTGCGTTATTTACACCAGCAGTGGGACAAAAAGGTACCTTGTGGGGCTTTAATATTCGTGGTTTGGCTTGATTTGGGGCTTGATTGGGCTGAAGGGCCATCAAAATATTGAGGATGAGTTTAAAATAAAGTGGGAGCAGCTCAGCAGAGAGGTGGGGAGGAGGTTCTGACCCTGCCCAGAAAAACCTGATTTGTTTTGGAATGTAAAGGACGTTAAAAACCCTCAGGTAACTCCAGGTTCAGCCTGGAATTTTGGGAATCCCCAGTTCCATCATGGAACCATCACCCTGGGGTAACCAGGGGGGTAGGGCAGAGGGGGAGGAAAACATGGAGGGAGGGAAAATCAGAGGGAATGGGGAGGCTGGGAAGGAAATATCGCAAAAAACAAAGGTTTGGGAGGTTTGGTATATTCAGAGAGTAACTTGGAGCAGGGGGGAAAGAGGCTTTTATGTTTATAATTTATGCTATTCTATAAATATAAATGTATGTATGTGTAAAAATGTATATATTTATAAATTCACGTATTTATATTTTAATATATATGAAAACACGCAATAGATTTATAAATCAATAGGTTTACATTTCAAACCACATATTTAAACACGGCATTGCTTATATTGGAATTATTGTCTTTATTTGTGATTGTGTCTATTTGTAAACCGTTACAATTTAAAATTTTACTTCCCTCGGTAAAAAAAAAAAAACAATCTTAATTCTTTAAAGAGATTTTTTCCTCTTCAAGATTTCTACCTGTTTTTGCTGGTGACATTTCAGACCTGTAATTACAGAGGGCCCAACTCGAGGCTTTAACCCCCCCTGCTCAGATTTAAGGAACGGCCTCCAAGGAGCAGCTTTTGGCTCCCAGGGGGGAAAATCCCTGCTGGGGTGGGATGCAGGTCCCCGGGGGGGTGTCCCCGTGGCCGGGGGTCTCACAGGGGGTCCCTCTGTCCCCCCAGAATGCGGCGAAGAAGCGAGACCAGGAGCAGGTGGAGATCGAGGGGGAGAACTCGGCGCCTCCGCGGAAGATCGCGCGGACGGACAGCCAGGACATGAACGAGGACACTTAAACCCTGTGCTCTCCCTCCGCTCCTTCGGCGCTTCCCGCTCTGTCTCCAAGTGTGTAAATTTGGCCCCTCTTCGCCCCCCATCCCCACCTTTTTTTCCTCCCCCCTCCCCACGGCGCAGCCCAAACCACTTCTGACTTCACGGGAGCCAATGTATTTATTTTGGGTTTTTTCTGCCCGCCCCCCCCCACCTCCTCCAGTCGTTTTTATTTTTTTTGGTTTTTTTTTTTTTTTTAATTTGTGCCCTGCAAGCTCACGGAGCAGTGGCAGAACCCAGTAGAACCTCAGTCCCTCCCTCCCCAAAAAATCCCCGCTGTCGCTGTGGGGTGGAGCGGCCGGCCCTGTTCCCGGGGACCCCCCGGGGCAGTCCGGTCACCGCTGACGTGTCCCAGTGATTCACTCCCCGGGGGTTCCCCGGCCAGCCATAAGTGTGGGGCCGAGTTGTTATTTTCCCCCCCTCAAATATCCCAGTCACGGATGCCGACGAGGGTGGTGTGGATGGCAGCAAATTCCTTGGCAGCTCCATCCCGGCCGTGTTTTTGGGTCTGGCCCCCTGAGCCTTCTCCCTCCAGCCCGTGGTGCTGTGCTGGAGGGTTTGCAGTGAAAGGTGTGTTGCATTTGTTGCTCTCCGATCCTGACCTTCTCCCGGGCTGGAATGGCCTGATCCCTGTGACTTCTCCGCTGGAATAAAAGGATCCTCCCGTGCCGCTCCCAGCCCCTGGCCGGCCGCGCGTCCCAGCAGCAGCCGACGGGATGGAGGTGGGGTTGGCACCGCTGGATCTGCTCCGGGAGCACCTCGGCACCTCCATCTGCTTCTCCGCCTCATCCCTTGGCTCTGGATGGCGGCACAGCGGCTTTTCCTGCGCGTCTGGAATGGGATGCAGGGCTTGGAGCGGATCAAAACGTGAGCTTCCATGGTCTGTGCTGACGACCAATCCCTTTGGACTGTGACAGTTCAGTGCCTGTTGCCTGTAACCCTTCCCTGGCCCCCATAGGAGCCGAAACGGAGACCTGTCGGTCATCCAGGTGGATCCAGAGGTCCAGGACTCGTGGAAAGGAGCATCGTCACCGGGAGGGGACAGGAAAGGAGTAGCTTAGTCATGATGTCTTGTCTGCTTTGCCCTGAGGAGCTGATTTCCCACTGTGGTAGCTGAAATTGTGGCGTTCTTAGCTGTGTTTTCCCTCGTCGACAAAACCCCCCCACACCGAGGAGCCACGCGGGTGTTTTCCCAGGGATCCTGGAGAGCCTCGCTCCGAGGGGCTGCGCTGGGCTCCGGCTTTGAGGGTTTCTGCTGGCCCTGTCCCCCCTCCCCACAACACCCCTGGCCCCCCCAGGGGTGCCCCCCATCCACTCTGGGGGCAGAGGGGCGCTGCCCCGGCAGCGTGGTGGAAGCAGAACCTTAGGAAGAGCAGGACACGGCTCCCTCCCGCTGGAATTCTGAACGTCCCTTTAGGCACCGAGTCTGTGAATGAATTTAACACCGAGTAGCTTAGACCTTTGCACCTGAGGAACACGTCCCCTTCGTGCTGTGGAGCAGAACACGTCCCCTTCCTGCTCCTGGAGGGGGCAGATCCCGGGGGTGATTCCCGGCATCTCTGTGGGGTTGGGGGCTCGGGACGAGCGTTCCTGCCGGAGCCTCCCGCCCTCCAGCCGTGCTGCCAGACACGGATCCGCCAGCCAGGAGCCCTGGGAGCAGCTCCCAGGCCCGAGGGAGGGCAGGAAGGTGCCCTGGTGGTGCAGTGCGAGCAGGGCCGGGGCTGTTCCGCGCTGTATCCCCGCGCCCGCCCGCCTACCATTAAAGAGCTGGCAGTTCCCTCCTGCTGTGAACCCCCTTCTGTTCCCTCTGTGTCCTTGAGAAGCGGCCTGGGAGCCCCGGAAATGTCTGCAGGGGGTTTTAGCAGGTGAAAAAGTTGCCTTTTCCAAAGTGGTCTGGGAGTGGTGGGGAAATGGGGGCCAAATGATCCGAGGGCCACGGTGGTTTGGGGTGTTGGTGCATGAGCAGGAGGGATTCGGGATCCCTGCAGCCTGTCCTCCTCCCAGCCATGGATTTGGGATCCCCCTGGTCTGTCCTCAACCCATCCATGCATTTGTGGTTCTCCTCCCAGCCATGGATTTGGGATCCCTGCAGTCTGTCCTCTTCCCCATCCATGAATTTGAGATCCCTGCAGCCTCTCCTCACCCCATCCATGAATTTGTGGTTCTCATCCCATCCATGTCCTCATCCCAGCCATGGATTTGTGATTCCCAGTCTGTCCTCCTCCCATCCACGATTTGGGATCCCTGCAGCCTGTCCTCATCCATCCTCTCTGCAGCCAGAACTCGCTTCCTTCCACCTCCTCCTCCAACTCATTCCAGGTTTTTCCCGGCCCCAGAGCACTGCCCTCGCCCCCCCTGCACTTTGATCCTGTATCCCCAGGGTGAGTGTCTGGGCTTGGGATGTTCCACGGAAGATCTTTGCCTAACTGTGACTTCCTGGTGCCTTAGTGCATTGAAACAACAAAAAAACCCCTTGAAACCACCAAAACCTGGGATTTTGCCCACCTTGTTTGTACAAATTCCCGGCTCCTCCGACTTCTCCTCCTGTTCCCGGGATCTCGTGACCCTCCGGGGATTTTCTATGTCTGCACAGTGGGATTTTTATTGTTTCTGTTACCGATTGTTTACTAAAATCTGGCTTTTTTAATGAAAACTCGAGCTACTTGTCCGAGATGGGAATTTTTGGGGTGTTTTGGTTGAGTTGTGCGTCTTCTCTCAGAACTCAGCATGTGGAGGGACGATGAACCCACCCAGGAGCAGCTCCTCCCGCCCCCTGGGAGCGATTGGACGTGTTTTGGGTGCGTTTGGAACATTAAAAAGTTGGGAAATGCCTTTTCCTGCCACCAGAATCCTGGGTGACTCCTTGACTCAGTTCTTGATCCCGTTTGGTCACTGCTGGTTCTCGGGGGCGGGGGGGAGGAACAGCAACAAAAAAGGCCCTCCTGGGAGAGTCAGGGATGGGGAATGATGGATTTCTGATGGATCCACGGGGAGCTGGAGCTGGTGGCTGACCCTTGGCTTTGTGTGGTTGGTTGGTGTCTCCTCTTGGTGTCCTTGGACGCTTTTCTTCCCGGGGTCCTTCCCAACCCCCAAGGCAGATTTTGAAAGATTGGTCTGATTTCCCCCACCCTCTCCTGGATAATTAGGACAGGTTTGACTTCAAAGCTTCATTTTTTGGGGAGTTTGACACTGGCCTTAAGGCAAAGACTAAGGAGTCTTGGAATTTTTTCCAACCTTGCAGCTCTGTCCCCACTTACATTTCCAGCCTTTTTATTTCTTTTTTTTTTTTTTTTTTTACTAATAAAACTTAATTTATTTTCTTGGATTAACGACATCCTGGCAGCCAAGGGGTTGTGTGACTGTGTGTCCAGAGGGATTCCAGCTGGTCCCTCCCAGTTTTTGTCCTATATATGATATTTTTGGATGTATAAGAATGGGGAAATCCTTCTCCTTAAGGAAGAGAGGCTTGGGTCTATTTGGGAGCAGCAATTTCGGGAGCAGCTGCCAGGAGAGGGTGTTGGATTGTGGCTCTGGTGAAGCCCATCAGGGAAAAAGTTGGAATATTGGAAAGACCAAACCTGGGCTGAGGGAGGAGCATTTTGGAGCCTCCTGGGTTCTCAAAGATCCCGTTTTAAAGGCAAAACTGTGACCCTGTGTCAGAGCAGGGATGTTTCCATGTGGGAGGGGGCTGCCTGAGGTTTTCCACAGGTTTTCCACAGGTTTTCCACCTGCTGCTGTTCTCCATCCCCTGGGGAGGTCTGGGATGGTCTGAGGGGGCAAAGGCTCTTCCCTTTGGTCAGGGCTGAGTGCAGGGGGGTGGGAAGGGGCTGGGGGGGAGCAGGAGGAGCTGCTTCCCATAGATCCAGGGTGACAAATCCCCCTGGAATGGGCTGAGCTGAGTCACTCCTGGGCTGGGCTGGGCTTGTGCCGATCCCAGGCACATCCATGAATCAGCCCCGAGTTTAATTAACCACCTCCCCTGGATGTTTCCAGCTCCCCCTGTCTCGGGTGGGGTGTCCAGGAGCAGCTCTGAGGCTCCATCAGCCCCCAGTGCCGGATTTTTCCCTTTGCAGCCTCAAGATTCAGGAATCTCTTCCTTCCACCCTCTCTTGGTGACTTCAGTTCTCCTGTTTTTAGACAAACCCTCATCTCCTGGGGCTGGAAAAGGTGGCTTTTCCCTGGGGGGGTTCCTGTAAATCCCCAGCCAAGCTGGATGTTGTGGCCATTGGAATTTTTTCTTCTTTCTTTCTTTTATTATTTTTGTTTTTGGCATTTCTTTTTAAACTCTTCCGTGTTTGATACTGTGTATAATAAATTTGCAGAATTTAGAGCATTTATTCTTCCTCTGCTTCATCCCAGCCTGGTGGGGATTGATCCTGAAGGGTGACGGTGTCCGTGGTGTCCCCATCCGCCTTTTCCAAGGATCCTTGTCCCCTGAGTGCTGTGCAAGCCCCACTAATTACAGCAGTAATGATAACAATAACATGCAGATAATGATTATAACAACACCCCACGCCTCGGCCTTGTTGAAATAGATTTTTATTGCATTTCTGCAGGTTTTACAAAAATATGACAAAATAAATTAAAAAGAAATAAATAACCCCCCCTTCCTTTCCTTGAATTCCTACGGAAATCCAACGCAAAGGAAAACAGAACAAAACCAACCAACCAACTAAACAAACAAAAAAAAAAAGACCAACCAACCGTCCCAATCCTTCCCTCCTCTGCTCAGTCACTGCCCCCAGAGCCTCATTCCAGGCAGGGAGATGCTTTGGAGAGAGAAGTGGTGGAAAGTGCCCCGGGCTGGGGGTCCTGGCTGCAGCAGGGCCCTGCCCTCCCCTCTGGATCCGGGATTGGTTCTCTCAGGAGGGAAACGGGATCAGTGTCATTCCCTTGGAGCCCAGCGGGTGGGATTTTTTGGGGGAGCCACAGAGCAGGAAAACTCGATGGAAGGGAGGGAGGGAGAGCACCCCGACCCCTCCCTGCTCTCGGTGGGCTTTGGGCCAGTTCTCCCAGCTCTCCCAGTGCTCCTTTTTCCCGGACTTTGCCCCAGAATCTCCCTCATCCTCTCCCTGTGTCCCCCAGGTGTGGGAGGGCGACGAGGGCCCAGAGCTCCCACCGGGGGGGTCTTGTCCCACCCCGGAGCAGGGGACACGGTGCCCTTTTCCCTGGAAAGCATCTCCCTGCGCTGTTCCATCGGCAGAGGAGCAGCAGGTGGAGCCTCGGCCCTCTCCTGCCCTTATTGCTGTATAAAATGGCTTCTTTAGACCCCCAAAAACTGAAATTTCCATGAATTCTAGAAAGAGGCGGCGGGGAAAATCCAACCTGACGTTTTCTGCAGCCCAGGCCTGGGGGATTTGTTTTTGGGGGGGTGGGGGGAGAAGGGGGGCTCAGCCCCCCTGCCTGGGCCAGGCACAGTGAAGGGGTGACCCCCGGCAGCCCCCTCCCCTTTCCCCGGCTTCCTTTGGGAATGGGGGTGGCTGCGGGCGGAGCGGAGCTGGTGGCGAGGGCCAGGGGGGAGTGACAGGGCTGGGTGTCCCCACCCGGGTCACCCGCGAGCTGCCACCACCCCGGCCCGGCCCCGAAAGCGAAGCGGAGCCGCAGCAAAGCAGGAAGGGGGGGCTGGGACACCTCCCCCTCCCAGCACGGTTTGGGAAGCTCCAAGTCCAGACCCAACGACGCAAATCCGGCAAAACCTTCCCCCGGCGGCGGCGAAGGGGCTGCGGCACGACCTCCGCGCGTGCGAGCGCCTTATTGCGAAATAATTCCAGGGAATATGAAACTGGAGATGGGATGGGCCCGTCCCGGCTCACGTTGCAGTCCCGGGGGTCGCGGCCGGTGCCAGCCCCCGGCTGAAGGAGCAGAAAGTCCCTGGCGTTGGGGTTTGGTTGGGTTTTAGTGCAAGAAATGCTGCCCATGCGCGGGGGCCGGGTGGCTGCCGCTCATCCCGCTCCATCCCGCGGCGGGAGAAGGTCCCGGTGCTGGGAAGGATCCAGGGCGGAGGCGGCGGGAGCGGGATGGAGCAGGGCACGGTGCCATGGCCCGAGGGCAGGGGGTGTAGGCACGGCTGAATGGGGCTCCTCTGGCCGCTGATCCCGGGAATCCCGGCCCTCCCGGCGGCTCCGGGAGCGGCACGGAGCCAAACCGGGATTACTCCCACCTGCGGGATGCTCCACCCACCCCGCCGCTCAGGAATCCTCGGCGCGGGATCCGGGGTGGCAGCGGGTCCCGGCGGAGGGGCCGGGGGGACACGAGGGGACGCAGCAGAGGGGGCCGGGGCAGAGCGAGGGGCTGGCGACCGGTGGGCTCGGCCCGGCCCCGAGCGGGGGGACGGCGAGGGGGGGCGAGAGGCTGCCGATGGCCACGGCTGCCCGGAGGAGGGAGCGGGCGGCCCCCCGCGCTCCCACCCCCCCGAAAGCCCCGGTTAGAGCCTATAACCCCCGCTCTCCTCCTCCGCCCGGCTCTCCGGCTCCTCCCGGCCCCCCTCCTCCGCCGCCCCGTTGAGGTGGGACTTGCTGGGCACCGAGCGCTCGGGGTCCGCCGAGGGGCCGGGCCGGGGCTGCGGGGACGCCCCGGTCGTGGTGCCGTTGCCCGCGGCCCCTTCGGACTTGCCGAAGTTGAAGAGCTTGCCGGGGTTGAATGGCTTGGTGGGGGACTGGACCTTCTCGGTGCCCGCGTCCCGCTTAGTCTCCGGGGATTTGAGGAACTTGAAGCTGAGGAATCCGGGCAGCTTGTTCTCGCTGCCGGTGGGCGACTGCGGGGACCTGGCGGTGGCCGTGCCGCCGGCGCCGGCCCCTCCCGACAGGAACTTGCCCTGCAGGGGGATGATCTGCTTCAGCTTCATCACGTTGTTGGTGGCCAGGAGGGAGCTGGGGCGCTTGGGCTTGTCGGAGCCGTGCGAGGAGCCTCCGGAGCCCTTCCCTTTGCTCTGGCTCTTCTCGTGGGCCGGGTCCTGCCCGGCGGCCTCGGGCTTGGCCTCATCCCGGCTGGATTCGCGCTCCTTGCGCGCCTGGTACTCGGCGTGGCGCTGCCGCTCCTCCTCCTCCCGCTTGCGCCGCTGCTGCTGCTGGAAGTGGTGCTGCGCCTGCCGCTCGTGCTTCTGCCGGCGGGAGAAGCCTGTGTGCCTCGGGGGGCTCGGCGGCCCCCGGGACGCCTCGGGGAGCCCTCCCAGCCCAGGCGTGCCTCGGGGAGCCCTCCCGGCCCGGGGACACCCTGGGGAACCCACCAGGTCCGGAGAACACCTCGGGGACCACCCTTGGCCCTGGGTTCAGGGGTCCCAGCCCCGTGTCCAGCCCCGAGCAGGGTCCCATCCCAGCGCCACCCACCTTGAAGGCCTCTCGTCGCTGGTATTCCAGCTTGGCCATCTCCTCGGCCACCCAGGCGGGAATGTCGGGAATGGCCACCTGGATGATGTACTTCAGGAACAGGGCGAAGTGCTGTGGGGGCACACGGATCTGCCTGAGCGCCCCTGGCACTGCCACCCCCTCCCAAAACCCACCCCGCCCAGGGATGTTCGTGTCCACACGTGCGAGTAGAGAGGAAGGGAAGATCTGTGGGACACCTGGGCCAAGACCACACCCTGCCAACCCTAGGAAGACCCCACACAGCCCCAGTTTCATACCTCCAGCACCACCACGGAGATGATGGCTCCCTCGGGGCTGAGCCAGGGGAAGAGCCTC